TTTTGACGTGTACCAGTAATATTTCGCAAAAAACTCTAATAATATACAGAAATAATTGAATAGCATGTGTTGTTTTTTAATTTATAGTATTTTTTTATTCCTTGCTTAAGCAGTAAATTGAATCTATCAAAATTACTTTAAATTAAATTAAAAAATTCACTAATAATACCTTTTACGTAATAAGAATATTAAAATTTAAAAAAATGTTTTAAACTAGGTAAACAAGCAGGCAATGAATGCATGGCAGTTTGCTACGAATATTAATTTATAATGTAACATCCAACTATTTTTTAGACTAATAGAATTATTTCTTGCTTTTATTTATATCTAGTAAGATACTGACACTTAATTAATTTTATCTACTATCCATTAAAAAATTTTTAACTTCTATCTAAAATATTTAAGAAATGACTAATAAACTTTTTTCTACCAATTTCCATTACCATCTTATAGGAGAACTAGCATAATTTCAATCCTTATTTCTGTAACTCTGTAAAAATAACAACTCTAAATTCGGTCTTTCTCTTTAATTTATTTCATATTTACCTTTTGAACCAGAGCTTTAAGTTACCTTATTAAAATTAAGTAGAAGAGTGAGAATATAATCTAAAAACACGCTTAGTACCTATAACTTTTTTTTAAAACTCACATAAAGTCTTTTTAACATTTTAGTATGATACCAAAAACTTTCTTTAAGCATATTTTTTAAATAAGTTGGAGAATAAAAAGTATTTAAAAGTTATGGCAACTTTGGACCTTTAGTGGCTTACTGAAGCCATTTTCTCTCCTGTTTTTATAGCATTACATTCTAAACAGGGAAGCAGCAGCACCAAGATTATGGTTAAGAAAAGGGTACAGTTTTTAGAGAATTCATAATCATAACACACTATATAAGGATTTTTAAGTGGTTTTTCTTTAGCTAACATACACTCATTGCGTAACTGTACTGGTATTAGTAGTATATATAAGTGTCCAGGATATTTTGATTAAAATTAGTAAATTATAGTAAGGAATTAAGGTTACACTTTCTTCATAATATAGTATTTTATAAGCTTTTTACATCCTACATCTTTTTGTGGGAATTTAGATGCCATGTTGAAATAACTTTTTATCTTTTAGGCTACACATACATTGATCCAATTTTTAGCATTTCCAAAAAAAGTGGATAGCTGCTTCAACAGGTCACTTATATTAAAATATAGAAGGTAACGTACATGAATATTTAACAGAACTAAATGATTTCAGATACCATATATGATTACTCAATATATTAACATTAAACAAAAAAAATACTCTGCAAATAATAGCGATCCTTCTATTTGTAACGCAAAAATGAAGAAATTCGTCATCAACCTTTAGTTTTTAAGGTAAGGCAGCATCTTATTACTTTTTAATAGTTTTATATTTATAGGCATATTAAATAAGCTTAAAAAAAAAAAAAAAAAAAAAAACTATGTTATCTAACCCACCATTCGGAAGATACATAATTTTATAAGGATTTATCCATTTTAAAACACTGTGGGCATGGCTAGGCAGAGACGAGTGTGGCATCGTAATATGGCTGGGTAAGACGGGATCGCATGAAGTATGATAGGGCAAGGGAAATGTTAAATAAAAAAACCTTTCCTTTTACACGTTCTTTTAAAGGTCACAATTTAAAAACTGTTGGCTTACTTTGTACTACAGTGTGTGCTTGTACAAGTATAACTTAAAAAAAAACGATGAATGATGACATCTTTTATAAGTTGTTAAAAGTTATTTTGTAAGAGTTTTCATAAAGACAAAGTATAAGCTGTACCAATATGTGCCACAGCAAAAAGAAGCAAGGTTTTTCAAGATATGAAGCAAAAAAATGCTTGTGTTTAAAATCTTGGTTTAAGGTTATTTTTTCCACTGTTTTATTATTTATTACTCTGACATAAGTTTTAATAAATAATACACTTAAGTTAATTCATAAAACTTACTTGTAAATTTTCGATTGCTGTTACTTTAAATCCAACTTTCAATCGACCGTCTAACTCAGCAGCACCTCCATTCATTATTTTTGTAATATAAATGCCATTATCTCCTGGTGTGTGTTGATTACCTATTCCTCCAGCAATACTAAATCCAAAACTGTTCATTTTTTTCGATAATTCTATTTTACTCTTAAGAGCCAAATGTTTTCTTCGCCTTATACTCTGAAAAATACATTTTTTTGCAACTTCTTAATAAATGACCGTTTAAATGTCGTTAACTCTATCAATAACTCTATTATACAATTAATTCTTAAGTGCAGGCTTGCAAAAATATACAGAGCAAAGAAGATTTAATGAAAGTTTCTTTTAATTAAATAAAGAGGGAGTCTCAACACATGATGTGTTATTATTCAGTTCTTTTCTTTTTTATTTAAGGTCTCTTGTTTTTACTTAAAATTCATGTCATGTAAGATAAATTTTACTTCGGTTAAAAAATTTTTCATAATTGCAGAACAGTTATCCTAAAAGTGAACGGCAAGAATTATTTAATTAAAACATGTTATATAATGATGGTTTTTTTACAAGTATGTTAAATAAAGCATATTAATAACATGCACTGCACAACCTCATTAGATCATTGTTTACTTAATTAAACTGATTCAGACACTTTTTCCAGTAAAAACAAGAAACCTTCTTTTATTTTCCCATTTCTTTTAAAATAAATTGTATTATTTTGACGTGTACCAGTAATATTTCGCAAAAAACTCTAATAATATACAGAAATAATTGAATAGCATGTGTTGTTTTTTAATTTATAGTATTTTTTTATTCCTTGCTTAAGCAGTAAATTGAATCTATCAAAATTACTTTAAATTAAATTAAAAAATTCACTAATAATACCTTTTACGTAATAAGAATATTAAAATTTAAAAAAATGTTTTAAACTAGGTAAACAAGCAGGCAATGAATGCATGGCAGTTTGCTACGAATATTAATTTATAATGTAACATCCAACTATTTTTTAGACTAATAGAATTATTTCTTGCTTTTATTTATATCTAGTAAGATACTGACACTTAATTAATTTTATCTACTATCCATTAAAAAATTTTTAACTTCTATCTAAAATATTTAAGAAATGACTAATAAACTTTTTTCTACCAATTTCCATTACCATCTTATAGGAGAACTAGCATAATTTCAATCCTTATTTCTGTAACTCTGTAAAAATAACAACTCTAAATTCGGTCTTTCTCTTTAATTTATTTCATATTTACCTTTTGAACCAGAGCTTTAAGTTACCTTATTAAAATTAAGTAGAAGAGTGAGAATATAATCTAAAAACACGCTTAGTACCTATAACTTTTTTTTAAAACTCACATAAAGTCTTTTTAACATTTTAGTATGATACCAAAAACTTTCTTTAAGCATATTTTTTAAATAAGTTGGAGAATAAAAAGTATTTAAAAGTTATGGCAACTTTGGACCTTTAGTGGCTTACTGAAGCCATTTTCTCTCCTGTTTTTATAGCATTACATTCTAAACAGGGAAGCAGCAGCACCAAGATTATGGTTAAGAAAAGGGTACAGTTTTTAGAGAATTCATAATCATAACACACTATATAAGGATTTTTAAGTGGTTTTTCTTTAGCTAACATACACTCATTGCGTAACTGTACTGGTATTAGTAGTATATATAAGTGTCCAGGATATTTTGATTAAAATTAGTAAATTATAGTAAGGAATTAAGGTTACACTTTCTTCATAATATAGTATTTTATAAGCTTTTTACATCCTACATCTTTTTGTGGGAATTTAGATGCCATGTTGAAATAACTTTTTATCTTTTAGGCTACACATACATTGATCCAATTTTTAGCATTTCCAAAAAAAGTGGATAGCTGCTTCAACAGGTCACTTATATTAAAATATAGAAGGTAACGTACATGAATATTTAACAGAACTAAATGATTTCAGATACCATATATGATTACTCAATATATTAACATTAAACAAAAAAAATAACAGCACTCAAATAATGAAAATGGTAAATTATATTCAGCACTCATTGACACTAAGTCAAATGACTTATTTGTTAGGCGGGAGAAAACACAACTTAACATTGTTATCAATACTATCTCTTCGTTTGGCTTGTATGAAAGTTATTTTATTGTCTATATTGGCAAGTAAATTTTTTTTTGAGCAAGGACCATTTTTAGCAATTTTGTGACGCCTATTCCGCATCTCAGTCCTTTAATTATTAAATCTAATACTTTGCAAAAAAATGTGTTTTAAAGTGTAAGAGTCTTCTTTGCATTTAAACCTAACTGTGTTCACATTATTAAATCTATGTAATGCACAGTTCAAATTGGTATGCTGACTTCTGCTTCTAACTATTAATACAATTGTAATTAGACATACTTTCTTTTCTTTAGGTTTTGGACTAACGGAGGTTTATAGTTAAAGCCTGTGTGTTTATTCAGTGCTTTGAATACGCCAAGTAAGATTGTGAACTTCTTCAATGAATATAATCAGATGAAGATATGTTAGTAAGAAAGCTAAGAAAAAGAGGGGCAGAGAGTTTGAAAAAATACATTTGTTTGTATAATGAGGTATTCCAGGGACCAAACATCTTTATCACAGCTTCTTATCAAAGACTTTAAATGATTCATTTAGAGTTTGTCAGTGTCTTTCGATGAATTAATAAATTAAGGTGATCGCTGATTTTTTGGGGGTTAGATACAAGAAATAAATCTTATTATGTTGAATTATTAATGCAAGATTTTGCTGACCCTTTTTGTCAGCCTTATCAGGCGCAGATATGCAAGAATATTTAAGTATATTGACCTACTAGACACCAGTTAAACAATGGAGTGACAATTTTAGTCTATAGTTCGAGCAGTGACGAGTAAGTCAATATACTTACGAATTCTCGCGTACCTGCGCCTGATGAGGCAGACAGAAATGGTCAGCGAAATGTTGCATTAATAAACCAATATAAGAAAATTCAAATACACCTTGTATTTATTTATTTCTTGTAACTCGCCGAACAGATCACTGATTATCTTAATTTCTAAGGACTTTGAATAGTTATGGGAATGGTAAGTATGTTTTGATACCAAAAAAAAGTCTACTGTCATTTTGAAAACTGTTTTTTATGAATTGAAGATAAGTTTGAGTTAGAATGAGTATGCTTAATATTCCTACCTTTGTTTTAGTAAAGAAATTTTTGATTCTACAGTGAGGACACTTATCACTGTAGTTTAACTGTAACTTTTATCTTACCTTGTAGTTTTATTTTAAATTTCTTGAAGTTAATGTAAGTAATTATCTGAGTAGGGTGAGACTAAAAACCACAATTGTTCAGGATAGATCTCAGCATTGATTCGTATAATGTAAAAAAGAACATCTGGGTCACCTCCCTACTAAGTATGACGTCATCGTGCAAGGATTTAAAGGAAAGCACTACTCCTGGGCACAAGATAGTACACTTGCTTATAAAAGTTCAGATACGTGTTTCGGTATACAACCAAGTATTTAAGAAAATTTGATGAAGACAAAGTGTTATTTAAGAGTCTCATTAAGTATTAGTCTTCTTCATTTCTTCTTTTATTAAAAACTGCGAGTGTACACTTATCTGCAGGTAAATTCTAGACACTTTTTACAGAAAAAGTAAATAATAATTTTAATAACAATCACGTTGTAGTCGTTTCCCGATTTTGAAGGACACAAACACAACTTTTTTTATCCGCGAATCTTAAAAGAAGCTCTTGGTTATCAATAAGTTAGTTTAGGCCTGACGTATATAAAGCATTTAGAATAAGACTTAAGTAGAGACCTTTATGAAGTCTTATGTTAGCTCTAAATTTTTTATCCACACTAGAGTTTATTAAAATCTCGTATATCAGATTGGCAATAAAAGAAATAATCGATATAGTACTATCAAAACTGTCAGGTTTTTAAGCAGAATACCTACATTCACATTATAAAAGGCTGCTTAGATATCCAGAAAAATTAAAACTTTTAATTTTAATGTTAAATGATCTTAGTATGCTTAACCTTATTCTCAACAGGTTATTTGAACATGAGCGTCCTTTTTGGATCCATTTTGGTAATTGGGCAACATTTCTTTTTCTTTGAAGCCACCATACCAATCTATTATTTTCTATATTTTCTATGACTTCTAGAGCATATGACTTTATAGTAGTCAATTTGATAGTAGATCCTATTTACCCATGGTGATGAACCAAGCTTTGAGTTATCTAGAACATACGAAAGCTTACTGTTTAAAAAGAGAGAGAATAGAGTATGTGCTGGGTCTTTGATAAGCGGTCCAAAGTAAACAAGCCAAACGCGCCGGTGGTAAATTTTTTGGGTAGTATTAGTTCATGGAGACAAGATACTTTTTCGTTTAAAGATTTTTTGTCTGGTCTCCTATAGTAGCCAATTATACTAAGAAGACCCAGGATAATGTCCACCCAAATGGCAACCACCTTAAATCCAGGCTCATTGACTGAAAAATCAGCACATTATATATTAGGCCACTCCTAACAAAAAAACGACTCCTTCACCTCTCTCTCTACTATTTATGTTAAATCTTATGTCATAACATTCTTTTATGATGAATTATTCGTTGTTAAAGCCAGGTGTCCACTACTATAACAACATCAAATTAAGTATATTATGATTGAGCTTGTTGCTGATAGTTCTTGCATTTTCTGATAGAAGCTTGACGATGGCTGAAATCAGTTGTGCAGTACATCAAACAAATAAAAAAACAAAGATTTTCAAGTTAAACCTAATAAATCGTCAATTTGACAGATTTTAATTCGAGCAAATGTGACTTAAGGTTTTTCGTTTAGCTTCTTTTCTTTCTTAAAGATTTTTTTTTTAATTATTCTTGATGTCACTAAGTCTATTATTCTCTTGTATGAATAATAGTTAATAGTGTTATTATAAGCTTACTTATTCTTGTTAAAGTTCCTGTTGCTTATTTTTTTTTTTTTTACTTTTGTCTAAGATCTATTACTGGCTTCATCCACTTTGTTAGAATATTTAAATTGTGATTGTGGACTTATTTCTTCCTTCTTTTTTGTAGTAGGTGCTTGATAAGGCAGTCTGCTACATCACTTGTAAGGCTTCATTATGCTTCATATTTTTTTTCGGCTTTTTCTTTTAGTATAGAAAAGTCATTTGCATATAGTCTGAGCTTCTCAAATATTT